CCATTCTAATCTCGCTCAGACTGACGTCCGGGATATCATCGGAATAGTGTCGGATAAGACTTGCTCTTGGATCGTTACTCACACTTGCGTGTGGCTCCAACGATGATGTGTACAGCTGCCCAGAGAACCTCTCAATCTCACTCAAAATCTCAGGTGTCCCGGAAACGATGTTGCCACACTCAGTCTTCAGCTTTGACAGTTGGCTCTTTCTGGCAGACAGATCTCTGGCAAAGACTTTGGAGCCCTGGTTCCGCTCGATCGCTTCTTTAATACGAGAAGTATTAAAGTTGCGTAAGTCTCGCCGCATGCATTTGGAGATCTGTCTGTTCAGTTGCCTGTATGCTGTCAAATCTGTTGACGATTGCAGCCTCATCTCCCGTCTAACAGCCATGAGATTAAGAGTGTGATCGGAGAGTTTTTGTGTTCTTCTGCGGCGGGTCTTGCAGAACTTAGCTCCGACCGCATGGACAGTTTCCACGAGCTTGTCGTTCATATCGTCCACTGCATTGCAATCTTCTAGGCACTGGAAGCGGTTACGTAACTCGAGCTGAAAGGTTTCGGGATTCTGGATTAGAGCACGAGGGGGACGGAGCGTTGACTTCATTAGACGAGACCTCTCCAACTTAACGTTTAGGTTCAGTGTGCCTCTAACCATTCGGTGATCGCTGCCAGTTTTCACCCTTGCGATCACTGAGACATCACTGAACAGTTGGCGTCTGGTCATCATAATGAAGTCAATCTCATTTTTTGTCGAACCGTCGGGGCTCGACCAGGTCCACTTCTTGTGGGGCCGCTTCTGGAAGAAAGAGTTCATCATAAAGAGTCCCTCTTTCTCCATAAAGTCGGCCAGCTGCTGGCCCCTTCGGTTCCGTTGCCCTACTCCAAATTTCCCTACCTTCCGCTCACCGCTTTCTCTTGTGCCTAGTTTTGCGTTGAAGTCTCCCATCAACACCGTGTAGTGGGTTTTGGAGGAACGTATGGCTCTGGAAATATCCTCATACATTTCCTCCACCTCCTCATCGGGATCTGCCGAGGTTGGTGCGTAAACCTGAATGACCTTCAGCGAATACCGTTTGGTGATTCTGAGTATCAGGTACGCGACCCTCGTCGACACACTCCCAATCTTTACAACGTTGTTGACGAGAGACTTGTGGACGATAAATCCGACACCTCCTTGGGACAGATGGTCGCCCTCCCGGTGATAGAACAAGTTGCCGGACTCGAGGATTGCCGTGTCCTCCCCCTCTCTTCGGACCTCGGATAATCCAATAATATGCCAGCGCAACTTGTCTACCTCTTCTTCCATCTCTAGTATCTTCTCGTCAGTCCTCAGGGTGCGTGCGTTATATGTTGCCAGGTCGAGTCGTCGTAGGTGGCAACCGAACCTCCACCGGAGATTCTTAGCACCCCCTGCCCCGCCGTTACCATGGTCGCCACCGTAGCCAGGAATAGCGGGGCCGCCGGGGACTGGGGGCCGTCTGTTTGTGTATTTATTCATTGGGGGGTATCTGCCATAGTTGCCACGCTTGGCGAGCGGGTTGGCAACCGCAGTTTTTTATTACGTCACGGTTGTTATCAGGAAGATGCTGCTGCCCATCTCCTGCCTGTTTCCCTCTGTCGCCTCTTACGACACCCACGGGAAGATATGGGGTAGTGGATATTCTCAACCGCCACTACACACTACACGGGATATATTCAGTCCGGTTTATTTCCGCGCATCGGTAAGCATTATGGCTATAGATGCAAACAGAAACAAAAATAAGTTTTCATCCCCAATAGTTCATGATATGCAAACTACCCATCGAAATCTTTGAACTTTTATAAATATTTATTCAGTCATTTCTGTAGCGCGTCCCGAGCGTGGGTCATATTTGGTGAATGTTCTTCCAAGTGTAAATTCGGCGGACCAACGCGCTACTGCATAGGGCAGAGAACTCATATATCCTTTAAACCTTGATTGAATCTAATGATAGCACGTAGTTCAATATTTTTACAATTTTGGTCAACACGCTGCAACAAGTCTTAAATAAATAATTTCTTCTTTTCCTTTAAAAAACAAACATGAGTTTAATTTTTTAGGTACCTAATGGATGACACTTTCTTCGATAATTATAAATTATATCGATATCAGAGCTTTATATATAAGTTCATTTATCGATATATCGAAAATCCGATATTTAAAAAATGTCAACAGTCCTAGTTTGAACTGATCAGTTGGAGTAATCAGCTGAACCGACCGTGGTATTTATTTTTTTCAATTCCAAACAGCTTAGTTACCGCATTCTTACTGTTTGAAATGTCGTACTTCTATTAGTTACTGAATATTTGTTCAAAATGAAGTATGAATAAGCAGTAGCAAAAATCCATAATCGTTCAAATTCCTTCAAATCCTCTTATCTCAAGACTAAACTATACAAAGTACCTGTTGCTTACTTTAAGCAGTGCTTGTTCGTTTTGCTGGTTTCTAAGTATAAATCGTTCGGAAATCGTTCTGTAATAAATCGAACGCATTTTAATGGCAGTTTATCGGGTGAGCTTTGCGGTATTCAGATTACGGGTACGGGCTAAGTGGTGGCGGGGAGCGGCACGTGTACCTTATCTCTGTCCCTCGACACTTTCAATATTCGATTTCGTCGCGCCCGCTCTCTTGTTGCTTTTATACGCTTCTGCCTGTGCGACGTAGTGACTGAAATAGATATTTGAAGTATTTAGAACATTTTCTCATGTTTTTTTTTAAATTTAATGTTGATCGTATAAATAGTTTTAGTGAACCTCTCATCGCTTAAAGTGTGTATAAGTTACCCTTTCGCCATGTAGTAGCAACATACGAGAATTCACTACCCCAGTTTATCCCGAGGCTGTCGTAAGAGGTAACAGATGGAAATGAAACAGCATTCCAAGTAATACAACTGTAGTGGCCAACAAACTGTAGTGGCCAGAGCGCCGTACAGACTTGGTAGCTATGACAAATATCCTCCTATTAGGAAATCAACGAGGAAGGCATATATTTAAATAAAACTAGTTTTTACGGATATTTTACGATTTATCGCGTATACCCGACGTTTCGAGTACTTTACAGCACCCATGGTCACGGGGAAGACTGAGATATTCAACGTCCAGATGTCATAGTTAACCGCAGTTACCATAGATCAGGATTATATAAAAATACTAGCTTGCCAGACAGACGTTGTTCTGCCCTTTTCGACAACCCTATATCGCGACTTATTTTTAAAAATCCTTAAATTCGCAAAAAAAAGTGGGTCACTCATGGGCAAAAAAACTGTCCTATCTCTCAATTTGGACCAAACTGCACACGGTGTGCAAATTTGATTAAAGTCGGTTAAGTAGTTTAAGAGTCCATCGCGGACAAACAACGTGACATGTAATTTATATATATTAAGAATATAAAAAGGTAACAGGTGTATAAAAAAGTTAATGTACGTGATAAAATCCGTACAAACTAATATTATTTAGAGGAACGCCTACGTCCAGCAGTGGACTTTTAAAACCCTGCAATGATTGCCATTGCCATATCAAAAGCCCCAAGACGTTTCTGACACTTATCTTATAGTAACCTTTTACAACGCCCACGGGACGAAATGGGATGTTGAATTATCTTAATCCACACAGCAAATAAATTTATACCTATACATATAACTAAGAAAGAAAGGTTTTCGAGTGGCAGCCTCGTACCGGTAGGCGTAGTGTAGGGCGACCCCCCACTAGATGGAGTGACGACCTGGTAAGATATGCAGGAAGTCGATGGATGCAGGTGGCTCAGGACCGTGCTTTGTGGCATTACTTGGGGTAGGCCTATGTTCAGCAGTGGACTTGTGAAGGGCTGTAATGATGATGATGATGATGACATATAACTACTTAAGTTAACAGAAGTAAAAGTGATAAACGAGCACACAGTCTACTTGATGGTAAGTAGATTTTGTAACTTATATTATGCAACGTCCATCTTTCATTAGGAAAACAAAATAGTAAATACATTGTTACTCTTGAGAACGATTTAATGCCTCGTTGCTAGTAAAAAATGTCTTCGGCTCTCGTCCGTTTCCTTCGTAGCGCTGGGTACAGCATGGCTTGCTTTACCTTATTGACTTCCTCTGGCGAGTCTATTTTGTCGGCCATTGTGTCTAAGTGCTAGGAGGTCGTAGACTCGAGTTTGACCTCGAGCTTACGACAGTCCACAATGGTTTTGATCAAGGATCTAACCTGCGGGCTGGCCCAGCTGCAATAAGACTGGTCTATCATCCGAGTTAATCTCCAGGATTGTTTCGATGGAAGTTATCGACAAACGGACATCTTACTGGTAGCAAATAGGTAGAGATCTTTATACTGCCTTTTTACAGCGATATGCAGTGCGAGCGTTGTGCCACGCAAATACGCATTGTACGCATAAAACCTACGTAGGTATTATACTTTTTTATGCTACTATATAATTGAATTTACAGAGGCGAAAATTTGAAAAAAAAAAACGTATGACTTTGGTTCCTTTTTAATGGCGGTAAGTTAGGACGAGTGAATGCTTCTGTAAGCATTTGAATTGACGCTATAAATACAATCGCCACCTAAGCATCGTAAAACTCTTTATCGGTACGTTACAACAAGGAAAAAGTCCATGTCAACACGTACAATACGCCCCAAAGCGTAACCGAAAACGAGACTCGCCGCAATCCAAGCTAATGGAGTGTCTCATAATGACGGCTGCTGACATAAAAATAAATAGGCGAGAGTCGGTTTCTACGTAAGCCGATACTATGATAACAGCATCGCTCCCCCGATAATTGCCGAACTTGGCCGACGCCTCCGATGCTAAAGTTGTAATATAGTGCGGATTAGTTACTCCTGATGTAATTGGTCTTCGTTTATGATTTCCCAGTAACTCAGCAAATTTCAAAGCCCCGAGGAATAAGCTGTGTCATTTTTACTGTCTCAATTTCACCACAACTTAGATTTTCTAGTACCACGGGATTGAATCTCGATTAAGCGAAATGACGAAATGTAAGTCATTCTGAAATGTCTAAAGTTATATCATCAGTAATGCATACGCATCTCTTTAAATATTTAATGTTAATTACCACAAATTTTATCACAAACGTTAAATGCGTAGGTCCGCAGTCAGGGCAATAGGCTTAGAAGTAAAGATTTAGGTGACAAAGTTTATTGCGTCTAAGAATATAGTGTTGTCCATTACTCGACCGTAAATCACGGATGGGAAAACAATAAGCGTGAAATTGTGGAAACTAGGGCCGCTGTCTTGCGGCATTAAATCTTAGGGGAGTGAAATAAATAAAAATAAATCTGAGTCCTCCTCCCCTCGCGCGAAAACTTGATTTATTAGATAAGACCTGCAAAGAAGCTTATTTGATGCGAAGCTTATGATTTCGGAAACAAGTAATTTGTAATTTTCGCAACGCAGTAGTCGTAGCAGATATTAACGAGTATAGTTTAATTTACAACACGAATTCTGTCTTAACGTTCATTTATGAAAAATGTACCAAAAGATAATAAAATACTAAAAGTAAGACATTGATTAAAACTACTTTTACGGATTTTATCGCGTTTTATTTATTTTATTTTTAATACCCGACGTTTCGGGTGCTTTCCAGCACCCATTGTCACGGGGACTGAGGTAACTGACGTTCCGACGTCAAAGTTAACACGGAGTACCTTCAGCTTTGCAGCAATGAACTAACTGTGTTTTGAAGTCTTGCAGTGGTATGCTTGGGTTTAGTTTTAATTTTATTAATTATAGTATAGGGTCCCCAGCCTCCTTCTCTATTGAAATTAGGATGTTTTTTAATTTCAATAGCCTCCCGTGTCATCCTTGGTAGGAATCGATGTTCTTTCGCGAGGATTTGTGGTCTATCAAATCTGATGTAATGGTTGGGGCCATCTAGGATATGATCGCAAACTGCGTCGGGCGGGTTAGAGACTTCCCGGAACGTTGATGCTTCACGTCAGCTATGTGTTCTTTTACACTGCTTCCCGGTCGTAGCTATGTGTTCTTTTACGCGGGTTCTAATGGATCTCTTTGTTTGCCCTATATATGAGAGACCACAATCACACAATTTACAATTTTATCACACAATTTATTTATTTTATTTTTAATACCCGAAATGTCGGGTATAGAAAAAATAAAACGCGATAAAATCCGTAAAAGTAGTTTTAATCAATGTGTAGTGTTCGCGTAAATATAAGAAATCATTATAAAAGTAAGACATGTTATAAACTAGTGACCCGCCCTAGATATGTTCAACAAATAACTCTACAAATAGTATTCAAAAAATCCCCCAATTTTTCGTAATTAAATAAAGCCTATATATTATAGTATTCTATGAACCTAGATCACTCCTGAGATTGCTTTACGTCAGTTCGTAAAGTTTCATTACAAACAGTTCAGCCATTCCAGTAAGATTAGCCCGCACAAACAGATTGACAGACTAACATTTAAAATATGGTTATATATGTTTTATGCAAATAATCCCTTCAGCTTAATAATAATTATTTATTTATTTATATATTATTTATTTACTTTTATATATTTATTCAGCTCAACCAGATGACAATATTCTATTAATATTAATAATAATAATAATTTTATTTCAGATATACAAACTCCATACTTTATTAGTAATAACAATAAACTTAAGATTAATGTAGTAATTATACAAATATAAACCACAATACTCATTATGTAAACATTACAACTCTGGACCCCATATGCACAGTGTTCCAGTGCCGAACAACCGGACCTTTAACGAAATTCGTTCAAGAACCGGACATTTTTTTTTGCGCTCGAAGCAAATATGGGCAACCCTCCGGAAAGCGGGGGAGGGAGGTTGGGAATGCTCATAGCATACCACGCAGCCGGCTGCGTGGTTATGTGGTGACTTTTACCCACTAAACCCAACCTTTTAGGAATTGGCTTAACGATCTGACTAGAGATCTCTAAGCCGTATACGAACGCGACCCTCCTTGGCAGAAAGGAGGGCGCAAAACCGGACAATTAAGTATTAATACAGTAGGTACATAGGAGTCCGTTGGTGTACTATCTCGCACGCGTACCATCAGCGAGGCCACTCTCTTTCGCTCTATAGTACGAAGCTGTCCGTGTAAGACTTAGTAAACATACCTGTTGCACTGCAATAGCGAGATTAGCATCCTAAAGTCATTATTATACTAAACACGTAGAACATCTACAGATCCGCGAGTGTACTTGACCCACAGGCTGCAGGTGTAAAACTTTTTGCCTACGCCTTAAAAAGGGTTATTTTGTCGGCTTTTGTACATCTTGCAAACCTACGAGCCAGCATGTTGCACCTCACTGTTAATGCTCTACGTTCTCGTTCAATATTCAAGTCATCAGAGGGGTCCTCGGTTACCCAGTGCCCCAGGTATTTAAATTTGGTGACTCTACTTAAAGGTACTCCTTCAAGTCTGAACAGTGCGATTGCCTTAGGTTCTTTGTTCCCTGCCTTGATAACAAGTTATTAATATAAGGCTAAGATGATTCTTTCTAAATGGAAATCGAACCGAACCGAAAACCTTTAGGACATACGTTAGTATGTGTTCAGTTGCAATTAAAAAATTGGTTTTGATTTCGTTATCTATAATTAGGTACTGGATATGCTTGAAATGGGAGTAACCTTTTTGTTTAAAATAGCAGCAAAATACTACCGCGTTTCGTATGAAAAGTGTAGGGAACGTAGGAGAATTTTAGTGGATATTAGTCCTACGGAGTGACAATGCATCTGTATTCTGATTCTTAATCGAGGACTGATGTAGGTGACTATGATTGACAGTAATAATTTCTTATATTTACGCGAACACTATACATTGATTAAAACTACTTTTACGGATTTTATCGCGTTTTATTTATTCTTAATACCCGACGTTTCGGGTGCTTTCCAGCACCCATGGTCACGGGGGACTGAGGTGACTGACGTCCCGATGTCAAAGTTACTTAGTACTCCGGGTTAACTTTGACATCGGGACGTCAGTCACCTCAGTCCCCTGTGACCATGGGTGCTGGAAAACACCCGAAACGTCGGGTATTAAAAATAAAACGCGATAATATCCGTAAAAGTAGTTTTAATCAATGATTTACAGTAGTAATTATTTCACACTATCATTGTCAATAGCAGCACATCACAAGTTCACAATTGACAGATTGCCATAAAGTACGGTTCTAATGTTCTAAGCACGAATAGATTTGTTTACCTGCATGTTTCATCTTTGAAATGAAAATTTACTTCAGCAGTTTTGTAGGCTATCGACATGTTACGGATCAAGTGATTAATAGGGCATTATTCATAATGCCCGGACAATTTGAATAATGCCCAATATGGATACATATAAATATAATATAGTATAATATAAAATAAGATTATTGGGCAAAGTAATAAGAAATAGGTTAGGTTAAAAAATCTGTCACATATTTAACACTTAAATAAGGTAATAATGTTTTTTTATGTTTTTCGTGACAGATATTTTTCTTTTTAACTAAATATTCCCTTCTTTCACACTTACACTTGTTAATTTCAGATTGTATACATTATTGACCTATTGTTTTAAAAGTGAAAAAGTAACATGGTGAGTTTATATCAAATTCCCATAAATTACATAACAATGTATGTAGAAATTACCAGACAATCTGAGAAACAACGAAATTTAATTCAGTATTAATTACATATCCAGATTTGATTTGACATTATTCGTATTGCCCGGGGATTATAAATAGTAGTAGCTAATCACTTGGTCAATAACAGACAAAACGAAATGTTAAGATTTAGGATTTTTTAGTAGGTATTTCACCCAAAACTTTTGTAGTTTATTTAATAACAATAAATTACTCTTGAAAATATTAAACATCCAATATAATTGTAGTTTTTATTTTTATACTTTTTTTATTCTGTAAGCTTCTTTATTTTGCACAGAAATGCATGTAAGAATTTTTTCCGTGTGGTGGAGTAGGAGAATTGAACGCATTTAGTTCCGTGGGTATCGTAGGAGCCTCCTACCTATGGGAAGTCTTCTAAGAGATGGCGGTATAACTATCTCGTTTGAGTCAAACGCAGAACAACCAGACCGGCGGCCGGCAGCACGCTCAAAGGTGCGAGGTGTCTGATACTGCGCTCGTCAGTCCAAGCGTGATGATTAAGGTACGTGAGGGTAACATAGTCATCTTAAGCTTTGCCGCTAACCAACCCAAAACTCCTAGTTTTGGTTTTATAGGGCAGATGGAGGATAGATAAAAAAACATCGTACGTCGTATACTATAACTAAGATATCAAATAAAAAAAACAAATAAGCTTTGTCAATAATTAGGAACACTTCGAAAATCAACTTAATAAAAACTAACTACGGCCTTACGCCATACTAAAATCGACTAAAATATTTACTATAATATCAACTGTCAAAATGGCGTCGATAAAGCTGCGTCCATTTGACTCTTTATTATTTGATTGACTGATGAAGAGGTATCGTAACACAAAGCTATCTATGCAAACAAGGTTGTAGTTTTTGAGTTATAAGAAAGTGACTATATGAACCGGATGACCATATTACCCTCACGTACCTACTATAATACAAAATCTCTCTACAACGGCAGACTTATGCGCCGATAAAGTAAGAAGAAACTACAATAAATGTTTAACAAAAACGTAAGATTTGTTTTCCTCTTCTAATACAGAAGCAAGTGTGAACAGTTACACTGGTCTGTGTGGCGGTTAATAACTTAGGAATCCTAAGTCTAGATTTTTAAAGTTCTACTGAGCAAGCAATTTCACCAAGTCGAAATGATTGCTTGTCATCGCATATAATGATGTAGTTTTTGTTGATGTTTAAATTTTATGTCCGTTGCGTAATATAAGTGTCCAGTGTTAAACGGCAGTAACGTGCTACTATGTCCGCAGCTCCAGACCGGGCCGACCACCGAAACGCGCGTCCGGTGTTGGTCTTTCACTGGCAGCCACGCAGTTCCCCGGGCATCCGTTCAAGAAACATCGGTTGGAGAACGGTGATTATTCGCCCTACGAAAACGGACATATGAGCGGTGAGTTAAATAAAATATTGTTACTATAAATTCCTTACTGGAGTTATGGATGGCAGCAAATAACCCGTATTTGTTTGATCCCCGCCGGCACCGGTGAAATTGTTAATTCCAATTTACCACGTGTTCAGCGGTGAAGGACAACATCGTGAGGAAACCAGCAAGTTTGAAAAATAATATTTCCAGGACATGCTAAGTAAACAAACAACAGCGGGGCAAACTAACCGCTCACTAATTCTCTCAAAAATGAGAGCAGGCTTGTGTCTTAAGTACGGATTTCTTATCAGTTATATAAGTAAGACGGTGTCGTGAGTAAATCCTGATGGATTTACTCACGACACTGTCTGGGATGATTCCCATATTGTTCTATAGATGTTTTGTTTGGCACTTTAAGATATTCTTTCGATCTAAGTTAGATACCGGTTGGCAGCTCAAGTATTTCAGTTACAATCGGTCTCTAAATATTATTATGCTGTGTGACTCAATCTGGGTAACTTGAAGTAGCCACTAAATGCGAAAGTAAATGAAATGTATTTGCTCGATGTAAGAAAATAACATTTCGTTTATATAATTTCATATGTCGTACTAAATTATAAATACAAACAACAAATAAGAATTTAATTTAGTGTGTAATGCGGTCTAGTTGCCAAATATATCTTAATATATCAGTTTGGTCCAACTTGAGAGATAGGATAGATTTCTTGTCCATGAGTGACACACAATTTTTTTGCGAATTTAAAGATTTTTAATAAGACATGACAAAGGGTCGTCGAAAAGGGCAGAACAACGTCTGCCTGGCAAGCTAGTATATATATTAATTTTTGTGAGGAAACCATTTTTGAAACCATGAGGAAATAATAGAGTAAACGTTGTGGTTAAATAGCATTTACATGCATTATATCTAAATTATGAATTCATACATATTCTGCTAACCATTCTGTAAAAATGTCCAAATGCTTTATAATAAGTATATCGTGAACTATATAATGTGTACCCAATAAAAAATTTATTCACCTTTACCTACTCCTCGCGGTATAGTGACAAGAACCCGGGCTGCGTTTCTGTCTCGCTGAATGGCAATGTTAAGGCTGGGGATCTATAAACCGTGCTATGATTTTGTTCAGATAGATTTACTTAGCATAATCTTTGATTCTGGCTTTATAAACGTATCGGGCTAAGATTAAGCTGAGCTTATAAAATTCAAAAAATTTTTAAAAAACGAAAACAGTCCAAATTGTACTTCATAAATAATTTATTATTACAAGAAATAAAAAACGGACGTATTTAAATGAAGATGAAAGTACATTTAGTAAATAATTTCTGTGTATATTTTTTTTTTTTTTTTTTTTTTTTTTTTTTTTTTTTTTTTTTATAATATATGATAAATAAACGGACCGTTTGGGAACGGATAAAAAGAGTGCAAAATCACAAAGAAAAAGAAGATTTTAAAAAATTTTAAATAAGTTTGAAATTACGTAAATAGAAAATGGATTAATACTATTTAAAACTTGAAGACGACCTAAAACTACCTATTTATTGTTATAAAAATTTAGAGTATTATAAAAAACAACAATTTAAAAATAATACAGTGGTTTTGGTTAATATTCTGAGCTTTGTTAAGCGCGCACTCAGCACGACTTCGAAGTGAGCTATACAACTACCGACATTGTCTTGGCTCTACAGTAAAGTCTGAGCAAATCAAAGTACGGTCTATAGATCTCAGCCTTAGCGTAAGAGCAAGAAAAGATCCACCCTCACCAGCGTCGACGATAAGTCGCATATACAGTTCTTAATGGACCTTCTTGCACTTGGACTCTACGAAACAATAATATTTACAGCAAATGGCACAAAATGTAGTCATCTCTCAGACTTACACATGCGCCAATCGTACTCGTACGTAAATATACGAATATAAGCTTTAAATTTGATATAGATAAAATCAGGAGATATCTGGGACAAGCGCCGGATATGAGCGCTAACTCTTCGGGAGGCTCATTTCGTATACAAATTACACAAATACAAAATCATCCCAACACAAACGGAGAAAAGGGAATAAAGTGATTAAATAGAGCTCAACGCAAGACGGCTGGCAATCAATCATTTTTGTCGCTTAGGACTTTTGTTGACTATTTTGTATTTTGTCTCATTTCTTTCTATATGATGAGAACGCACTGTCTCGCTCGGGCTTGAAGTGTCGTGCCAGACAAGGGAGCAATTACATTCGTGATCTTGCATAAGCGGCACTTGCTTATCTCGCACTGCCGCGTTTGACTTTTGAGTGTAGTTCGTTCGCTTTTTTCCTAAATTTGCAATTCGAAACAGTCTCATAAGTGAAAAAGGCATTGTTTTGTTTTCACGGCACGGATTATTTTTCTGTACTGTAATTTTATAATTTTGCATATTTTACGGTGTAACTAAGTACGGTGCACGGAATAATTGTGGTCTTTGTATTTTCTTTCTGCATCTAAAATCACAGTGTAGCGACGACCCGTCAGAACGCGTTGATAATTACAATTGTATACGTTCAAGTGTTTGATTCACTGAGTACCTAACCAGTCAACAAAAGTATTAATTAGATGTTTTCTTAGTACAAGACTTCAGCACTTCTGTGTTTGACTGTGAAAGAAATCACGTTAGTGTTAGTCGTCAAATGAATGAATTTGGTCGCTTAGTAAGGGCTAGTTCATTAATTTAACAATATAGTAGTAACTTTTACAAACAGGAACGTTAAATAACATATCAATACTCAGATAATTCAAATAATACATCGTATACGAGGATAATAAGCATTCAGATACAACATGTATTTGATTATATTAAAGTATAATGAAATTCGTGCAGATATCCAATTTCTGTTTTACTGGTAAAATGGAATTAAGCGTTAAGGCAATATTATTTTGACGAGTCGTTGACAGTGGTTTACAGTTGATGAGACGTCACGCACACACATATTTTGCCAGAAATAGCACACATGTAAAACAGCATGCGTATATTGACGTCACGCGTGTGTTACGTAAGGGTGTCACTGTGTGAGCGAGGAGGCGGGTGGCCCATTTTCACCCTGTGAAATAATAGGATACGAAAACATCGGAGGCAGAATATAATCCTCCTAGGAAGGTTGAACGGAATGGAAATAGGAATATGAAATGCGTGAAAGGGATGTGTCGACCCACGTGCTCGCCGGAAGGGTTGATGTTTATCTTTTAGATGGTAAATCAAAATCGATGCTCATTCCGTCTTGTGTTACTTGGATTTGTTAGAGAAGGTGCTCTTTAGGTCACACGGATGTAAACAATATTGAGAAGATATCAAAGGTACAGTACCAAGCTAGCTAATCTAAGCTAGCAAATATTACAAACTGTGTGATTTATTTAGTATCAAATGAACATAACCGTGGTAGCTCAGGGGCTATGCCCTCGCTGTAAATTTCACAGTACGCGGGCAAAAATGAAATTGTGAATTGCAATTTTAAGATTTACCATGTGCTCGGCGGTGAAGAAAAAAATCGTGACCTGCATGTTTGAGAAATAATAATAAAAATCTTTCGAAAACATGTGAAGTTCACCAACATGCATTGGGGCATCGCGTCGGACATTTCCTTGACCTAAAACCCTCTCAGCAATGAGATGAGGCCTGTGCCCAGCAGTGGGACGTATACAGGTGGTAACTTTAACTTGAACTGAAATCTCACCATATTCTAATTATCCGTATTTAAATATTCATGTATATAAAAATGTAAGACAATTTTAACGTTACTTTATCTAATCTGTTGTATTGATGTTTATATTATATTTATGCTACAGTTGTGATAAGTGAATGGTATTCAAATATTTAACACGGACAACCCTCAAATTTTCAGAGACCAGCACGAAAATGATGTGTTGATAATAATTAAAGGTTGCGTACAATGTCGCCACGATTCGGATGTTATACAAACGGGGGATAATGTAAGGCATTATAACATTACTCACAGGGGTATGAAGCTTACATTCTGATTGAATTCTGTGAGTGAAATTAAGTAAGGATTTGCCTGTTTATGTTAAGGGAGTGCGATGTGATGGATCAGTCAATTTTCTACTCCCGTTTATTCACGCTTTTGTTCTTTGGATTGTTTCAATTATATAGGGTTGCTCATTGGTATAACACGTGTATGTACTGGAATTTAAAATTGAACATTGTGTTACGTATTTTTTTATAGAACAAAGGTGACAAACGAGCACACAGTTCATCTGATGAAAGTGGGTGCTGTGGCCCATAGACATTTCCATTTATTCTTGATTAAGAATTAAAATGCAGATGCGTTGTCACCTCAGAGGACTAAGATGGAATCCCGCGTTTCTAGTAAAAAAGGGTCTCCGAATCTCTTTTTCACCATACGTAACACAGCAATATTAAGCTGCTATTTTACGCTGGTATTCTGTGAGAGCATGGTCCTTCCACGGTCGAGCCGACCCATTCGCGCTACAATCATAATAAAGTTGCAGCGTAGCTATAGCGTGTATTTATTCTCGGTTGTATGTCTTGATAATTTATATAGCCAAATTTAAAATCATTTGAGTGGAATAATCTTTTCTTTACTTTTAAATAATCATAAAAATTACCAATAAACTAAAAGTCCACCTAATGGTAAATGGATGCTGCTCTTCATAGACACCCGAAACCAACTTGAAACAAAGAAGGCTATTAGATCATCTATGAGGACTTAGATGCATACCCACAGCCTGTTATTGTACTGAGTTTTTGTAAGCTTGAAACCGAACACAACAGGATTTGTACTGACACTGGCGGCAGAAATACATACCTAAATAACGCTAGAATTTTATTAGATGTACTCCTTAACAGAAAACGCTGGCTATTACTTAATAAAAGCTGGAAAAATGACTACTGATTGTAATTTTGAATAATCTAGGAGTGATTAAAGACATATTTTTGTCATGCTTTTTAACCTGTCAAAGTCCACCGCTGAACATAGGAAACACCATAAAATGCCCCATATAGAGGAA